GATGAAGGTCCATCCCTAAGGGGGAGGGGCTGGTCCTTCTCTGGTGAGCAGCTGCCCCCCTTTTTTTGTCAAAAACCATAAGAATCAAAATTATCTATTGTTCTTGTGACGTTCCCCCCTCAGCTATCGTTAGGATGGAAAAGTCACAGAATTTTGTAAAAATGACTAACGTCATGTAATTTTTCAAACAGTGTGTTTGATTTCTGTTATCAGAAACAAGGCGTAAAATGCATGTTTTCATTCACATCTTTTAAAAGTCTGAAGAGTCCAAGAAACTGCATTATTGGAAGGGATTTTTAGGTGCAGGAACCCTGTATAGTACTGTGGTCCCTCATACCCAAAGCTGGCAACAGGGCTGGTTAGATCAGCTGTTTTGTTCAATATTATATATCTTGGATATGATAGACTGACTTTTTTAAGGTAGAAACTCCAAGCTGTATTAACCATATGCTTCCATGGAGCCCAGTCTGGGGCACTTAGGCTTTATACAGTTGAAAAACGCCATAGCATCTACAGAAATGCCTATTCATTATTTCAGCTGTCCACAGTGTACTGATGTCCAGTACTGTAGTGACCAGTGCATGCGGTCAGCCCAGGAATCACACCACTGGCTGGAGTGTGGTCTTTGGGATGGCCTGAACATGGTGAGTATAGCTAAAGTTTGCTCTCCGATATGACAAAGCTGATAATGGGGTGACCTACGTAGTTGGTCAGTCAAAAAATGCATACCCCTTCTTTTTCTTTGGTCCTGCAGTTGGGCACCCAAGCTTGGCTGAGCCTGCGTCTGCTGCTTCAAGCAAAGTCCTGGCATAATGCCAAGTACATTGCAGAAATGGCTTCATCTAGGGTGTATGAGAATGAAGTAGAGAGGACTGATGGATCCTCGCCCGCAGGGTGTGGTCAAGATGGCTGCTATCACGGTGACTACCAAGCAGTCTATCACCTTGTGCCTCACGCCAAGAACCACTCGGAAGAGCAGTTATTCAACATGACAATGGTATGTTTACATCTGCAACAAATTAATAGTCACCAACCATCAGCAAAAGACATCACATCTTTTCAACCCAAACAGTGCTTACGACTAGTCATATTGGTTTGAGTACACCTTGGTATAGGGAGGCAGGGCAGATTGAAAGGGCTCAAATGTCCACTGGTTTCCATGAGGAAACAAATTTACAAAATCCTCTATTCAGTTCACAGTGATTATTACCAATTCATCTCCCCCCATGTCCGTAGACCGCCCTCCTACTTTCAAAATGTATCCAGAAGAAGTTGGATCACTCCAGAGAATGGATGCAACACACTGACACCAGCCAAGTGTCATCAACAGTCACAGCATTCCGTGAACTAGGAAACACTGAGGAGAACAAGCCAACCGATGTCAACGAATCACAGAATGAAGAAAGTGCAAAACATTTATCATCATGTTGCAAACAGTCCAAGCTTAGCAAAGATTCTCAAGACTGTATGTGTAAAAGGGAAGAGAAATGTGCTTGTGGCGATCCTAGCTATAATCGGCTCAATGAGCATGATCCATCAATGGTTCATGAGATCGCTGCATTTCTTTTGAGACACTTGCAACAGTTGACGTGTAATTCACATGCAGTAACGACCATCCAGAAAACAGAAGATCTGAACTCTCTCTCAAACATGGACAAAGAGCTGAAACCAACCAACTCAAGACTCAGAAACTCTGATGCCAGTGTCCGTTCTGGAACAACAAATCGATCAGTGGAAGTTGACCCACCAGTAAACACAAGGGTGGACAAATGGTGTGATAGAGAGCAAGACACCATGGTAGATACAACCAAGCAGGCTCGACTGGCGACTGCCGTGTATCCGACGGCTAGCCTACTGAATCATTCCTGTCAACCCAATACTATAGCAAGGTGAATTGTCCTCTCCTTGCCGCATTTTGTTCATATTTGTTGAAGCTGCAAGTTCCTGTACACTTCTCTAGAATCTTAATAATTTTAAGTAGCTAATAGATTTCATGTAGGACCTGCTATTGCTGATGAATGCATGCGCACAAGTTCCAGGCAAGGGCACGATAATCAGATCTTTCTGCGCTATATCTGTTGATATATTTTTTTTTCATTTGATAGCTTTGATGGTGCCATCTTGACCATGAGGGCCACAAGAGACATCCAGCCAGGAGAAGAGATTCTCCATTGCTATGGTAACAGCGTCAACACATCTGCCACATCTTATTTCAAAATACATTCTCACCTATCCTTGTCTCAAAAGTCTTTTTGTGGAATTTGTTCTCGATAAAATGGTCAAAACCCTCATGAAAATGTTAAATCATAAGTAATCAAATACATTAGAGATGAAAGTATTTTAATACTAGTTTATATCCTTCTCCGATACAATGTTATCTGAGTTTGCTCAGTACTTTCCAGGAATTCATGTGAAAAAAACTCCAGGAGATTATCCAGATTGGACTTGAATTCTCAGAATTCTCATTGGACTTGAATTCTCAGAATTCTCATTGGACTTGAATTCTCAGAATTCTCATTGGACTTGAATTCTCAGAATTCTCATTGGACTTGAATTCTCAGAATTCTCATTGGACTTGAATTCTCAGAATTCTCATTGGACTTGAATTCTCATTTCTGAGTGCCGATATCATACCATTCTACTACCTGGAAAGAAAATTACACATGCCAAAGCATGAGTTGTAGTAACTCACAGATATTTTGTATTTCCTCATTAGGACCACATGCCAAGCACATGAGCAGAGACGAGAGACAGAAGGCTTTGCAAGAGCAATATTTCTTTACTTGCACCTGCCATGCATGCACTGTGACACCTGTAGATGAAATGGAGACATGTGACTGGTCCAACTCATTTGCGTTAGTACTCATGCTCAATTAGTCGCCATACATTTATTTTACTTGCACTATTTCAGGTCTGCTGTTCTCAAAAGGGAAATTGATTTCTATTTTTAGGTCAGCTGTAGTAGCCAGCAAGCAGTTTGCAGCAGTTTTGTATCACAAAAGAAATATTTAGTGGTTTCGCCCCATGCATGCAACCTCCAGATCCAGTTAAGCAGAAGGGACCACTTTGTTGTTCTCATACCCAGTAGTTAGGCCCCACGAATTTCAATAATTGTGTGAAGTGTTTTTTACCTGAAAACAGGTGTTGCAAGTGTAGCCATCCCTTAATGCAACGAGAAGGCAAAAGAAAAGTTGGTGTTTGCATCAACCCAGACTGCAGACATAAACAGAGCCTGAGAGACGTATTAAAGGTTGGATACGGTCCCATTATAGACTTTTTAATTTCGTAAGAGCAGTGGCGTAGCTAGGGCTAAATCTCCGGAGGACCCCATTGTTGTAACGAGTCACTAAATTTGATGACTCGAGTCGAGTCATTTTGATATTGTGACTCGAGTCATTAGGTCAAGAAGTTGAGTCAAATCACTTTGTGTAGTAGAGTCAAGTCAAGCACTGAACTCGAGTCAATTTGAGTCACAAATTTTTGAACAAAATACATTAAAAACACAACTACATGTAAGTCACTTTTGGTATTTTTATTGTCATTTAGACATACTGAAAAAATTAGGGTGACAGGTATCTAGCCTGAAATTGCATGACACTTTGGTTTTTAAGGACAGTGTTGAAACATTGTAACCATTGTGTAGGTTTCTACCATGACTTTATTATGTTCGACCCTTTCACTTTTCACTTGTTGAACAGGAGAAAGAGAGGGCAGGCAACTTGTTCAAATTATCTCAGCATTTCCTGGAATGTAAACATATTGAAGGTGAGTGACTTGCAGAAAGCATCTTCCAAAATGTTGTTGGGTGAGATGAGTGTGAACTCTCCAACTGAAAATGCTCACAAAATTGAGCGTGTGAATGAGTTCTGTTTTACACTGATTATGTTGGCTGATAACCATTCAATTTCTTTTGATGGATAGAGTGTCTTGGCATCTTACATCAGTGTTACAATGTCCAACGAGATATTCTGTACAAGCATCACAAGGCATTGGCTGAGACTCAGGATTTCCTGGCAAAATGTTACTCTTGTATGGGTAGGTAGATGGAATGTGGATTGTCTTTGATAAAATCACATTCTGACACCCATAATTGTCCAATTGATAGTGAATGGGGTTTGGAAACAACACTATTGTCATTATTTTCCTAATTAACAGTAGCTCGGTGGCTGTTTCATCAAAATTTGAAAAAGAAAGTGACACTGTGTCATTGTGTTTTCATGTCATGTGTGGCGCACGCACTGCAGAATTATGGACAGTTAGTTTACAAGATTTTTTCAAACTTTACCAAGTTACACTTTCAAAAAGGTCCGAACAAATTCCCCTATCCTGTTTTTGTGAGGTAGGTAACTTGTTTTCTCTTCACGGCCACTGGCACATTTTCTAAGATGAATCTTGAGCTTCTCCCATTTTTTTTACAGTCAACAAATCTTTTCTTTTTCAAACTTACAGGTGATTATAAAACAGCAGGAAAGTATCTGCGATTGAGCATAGCGACCGTGGAGAAGCAGTATGGGCAAGACAGCATTGAATTGGCCAATGAATTGCATAAACTAGCTCAGGTTTTATTCAATGGGTATGTGTGGATATCATCCAAGATGAAGTATCCTTCCCATTGTTGCCAAGTATTTTTGTCCATATACCCAGCAAGAAATGAGACCGAGGGGTACCCCCCCCAACATGTCCAATCCCTATNAAAGCAGGGGGGGTTCTGTCCGTCTCATACCTTGCTGCATATGTTTGTCCAAGTGTATAGTGAGAGTGGTTTTTCTTCACTTCTGGTGTCAATTGTAGCCTGATTGCTTTCCATGTTTATTTTTAACTGATACTAAAGCTATTTCTTGAAAGACAAATACCAATGAATCTATTTGAGTACATTTGGAAACTTTCCTCAATTTTTAGTCTTTAAGAGTAAAAGGAATCCAGTCTAAACAAACAGTGTATTGGTTTTCCATTACAGAGGTGAGGTACAAGACACCCTTGTTATCTTGGATCGTGCCATCAAGCTCTTAGTGCTGCACTATGGACCAAACCACCGTGATGTGCAAGAATTGAGTCGAATGAAAACTTGTTTACCATCCCTTTGAACATTGCTCAACTGTCGGAAACTTGAGGAGGTGGAGACAATATTTATCCACCACTACACTATTAATTTCAAAAAAAATTGTATTAAATCCAACTATTTTAGCTATTGTGGTTGTGACCTAATCAGAGTTATCCAAAACTGACTTCAAATTGAAATTATGTCAAGCAGGTATTTAATTCACATTTTTTTAATGGCACTCCTGTACACTTTAAATATATCACATTGTGTTTATTAAGCTATCCAAGTTTTGATTTTCAACTTACATGATTGTTCTTCAGTGGAAACTGAGATGGAATGTTAAAGTTTGTTTTGAAGACCAAATAAACACATTTTGGACTTGCCATTGAGGCCCTGTGAATGAAATTTCTGACGGTGTATAACTTTATTTCTGATACAATATGCTTATGCTTATTTTTGTTTTAATATATTGTGACGTGACAGAGGGCTCTAGTCACTAGGCGCGGTGCAAAATTATAGATGGCGCTCTGCCCAGTAACGTAACGGAGGCAGACGATAGGCGCTCATAGCTGTGTGTTAAGCAAGCGCGGCGCATAGGCTCCGCCTTGTGCGTTGTGCGATAGGGCAGTGGAAGTCACTGCTTAGTCACGTGAGCGCGAGCATGGGCGTGGTCAGAGCAGCGCGAAAAGCTAAAGGCGCGCGTAGGCTAGGCTAGGCCTAGTCGTCCTGATCAAGGTCTGATCTTGAGTTAAGGGTCGAGAATCCTGTGCAAGGGTTAAAGTCACCTAGTACCTAGCCTAGTGTGACTCGACTGTGCCTGAGTCCCAGTGGTGCGTGTGCCGTTGAGGGGCTCGCTCGGTAGGTTGAGGGGCTGATTGGTGGTGCGGGTATAGTTCCTGATAGGACCTTGCGGTCGATGCAAGGGCGGATTGCTATCTCGTGATGTGAATTGCGTGTAGCGCAGCCCTGACAATAAGCCCCGTAGACTTGCTGAAAGTCCCTGATTCGGCACTGGATGCCCACAATTAATTGTGGTGTTCGCTGCTCTGGGCGAAGTCCGGTCACGTATAATCACGCAATGTCTCCCCGTCAATAGCGCCATCTACTGGTGTATTGGTTGAGTGTACGTGTGTTGATGAATAAACCAGACGCTTGTTAATTGCTGTATATAAGTCAGGAGTCCAGGCGAAGTTTGTTTCAAGTCATGTCTGTCTGGGTTACGTCATTAAGTTTCGACCAATCAGATTAGCCATCATCTCGACGAAGACCAACTTTTTGGGGGGACGGTATACTTCGGTCCCAACGGACTCGTCCCTAGTCGCTCAGGGACTCTCCGGCGTGCCGTCCGACGAGCCGCGCCTCGAGGAGGAGGGTGCCCTCGCCTTCGTCGGAGGGGCGCAGCGCCACAATATTTGCAATGCGGCTTTAATTTGAAACACAGTAATGAAGCACTGGATGGATCCATGTTATTGAATGTTGTTCTGTTCAGTCTTCCCCCAACCCTAACTGATGAAGCATAAAAAAACAAATGGCAATTTGTATGGGTGTAGAATTACTGCATATTTTGACACACTTGCCATGATCTTGTAGGTCAGGTCAAGCTAAAAAGGTTAACCTCCATCAAAGTCTAATATGTAATAAAATAAAAATATGTTAAAATACAATAAAATCTAATAAAAATACATTTAAAAAGATGAGAATTTTTTTATATTTTGTATGACTTGTCTTGAAAAACATTTCTTTGGATGATTTTTTTTATTTTTCGGGGGGGGTCTGTTTTTCATGTATTTTTCCCTCTTTTCCCGTTCTGCTGAGCATTAAAATGACGCCCGTTTTGATACTTTCTGATTTTCTGCACAGCTGATTGGTTATAGTTTCCAACCGTTTGTTTTCATTGGTTATTGCACAAATCTTTGGGGAAAAAATCCCAAATGACACTTGACTGTTCGATCTAGTGATGAGATAAAGTTATGCAGTTGTTTACTAACTTTTCATTCTTGTTTGCATGGGTCAGGGCCTATCTGGCTGGAATAGCGGATTTTGGGAATAGCGCCCCTTGTAGCCCGCATTCAACACCTTTGTGTACAGGTGTTGCATTCAACACGGCAGACGCTTTCACTTGACACAACGCTTCGGTAGTCACTTCTACCGGAATACCAATAGCTACTTTCAGTTAATGGTTATCTGTGCATTTAAAGATTGCTTGAAGGAATGCAAATTTGTGATATTACGCACAACTGTGCAGATTTTTCAAGAAACAGGGGTATGATACATATTTGCAATCGAAAATTTCACCAAGAAAGGGTTTGAAAGCGTAAAAAGTTTTCGGTTCCGGAGGGGGGAAGGTTGCGCTACCAAAACCGGCTGTTCCATTCTGTGAGCAAAATGGCGGCGGGTTTGACGCATTTCAGGCGGATTATACGGCGCAATTTCTGCGGATTTACTATCAATGTGGTGCCTGCATGCGGATGCTGAAAGAGAAAACTAGGAGTGGTACTCTGCTGGAAGAAGTACCATGGAGAAGTCGGTTGGCAAGGGGAAGGATAAGGTAGGTTTGGTGGTCGAATTTGTCAAGAAGTCGAGGGCAAATTTTGACTTGACAACTGCATAGGCCGTCAATGCGTGTGGTGGCGGTTGGTAGCGTGTTGTGTACACAGCACGCTGTATTGTGGTGCGCGTTATCGTTTACCGGTGTTATCTGCTGTCGTTGGAATGATATCGTGCTAAAACCGCACTTATTGATACCGGCTCTGTCCTTATTTACTTGCCCTAAATTTGATTTCAAAATGTTGAAAATTTGTTCCAGTGTTTTTTCTGCAAATTAGGTCAAGGCTTAATTGTTTTTATTGGTAAAATTCGCTGCAAAAAATTACGCAAAATTGATTTAGCCGACTTGTCTGGAAAAAATTTTGAAGGTAGTTAACTAGCTTCAAAAGAGTAGGCCTAAGGCTGTGTAATAAAATATGGGGTTATCACAGTATCCAATAATTTGTGTTAAGAACCTTGACACAAATTGAAGACTGAATGTGCAGTTGAGAGGAAAACATTTTTACTAAAACGAAAATTCAAGATTTTTACTCAGTTGAACCATGGAGGTTGGAAGGCCTAGGCAAGGCAACTTTTGTTCACATCCACCAAAGTGACAACTGACAGAAAACTGGTCGAAGGTTATGGTCAGAACAAGTAACATTTGTTTTCTAGTGCATGTGCAGGTTTAACTCCACAGCCAGATATTTGACAACTTGTATTAGTTGTTGCAACAGACATGAATCTAGAGCATGTATGTGTCATACAGCGTATTGCAGTGCTTTCCAGATCCTTGACACCAGTCATGTCGGTACTCGGTGTTTTTCTTTCTTCTGAGACACAAATCACTTAAACACAAACAAGAGTGTCTCTATCATCATTTACGTGTATCTTTTAGGGAGTGTACATAGTTAATTCTATGGTTTTGGTTTTTGGCTGACTCTCTTTTGGGGCTCTGACTGAGGAAAGAAAAAAGATGTTTTTGTGCCACCGACCCTGTCTGGAATTTCCCACCAAAGAAAAAAAGATAATCTGAAGAAATTTGCCAGGAAAGCAAGAAATGTTTTATCCACTTTTTCTCCTGACCATGTGAACCTTCCTCAAAGGTCAGAAAAATATGAGAACCATCTAGAATGAATGTATGGATGCCTTCAGCAGGATTCAAAATAAAGTACCAAAATACCATTGTATCTGTAATTGGTATGGTAGATCTGGCCTGGTGCTGGATATAGAGAATCCTTACGAGCCACAGCAAAATTTAGAGAAGTATGCGTGTGGTCGTGCTTTAGGCCTGTACATTTTAATCAATTGTTTTGGTTTAATTTTAATTCCCTTTTTGTGAATCACTCTAAAATTCACGTCCACTCAGATGTTATCCTTTTGACATTCTCTGAAGTCCTGAATTTTTTTGGGGGGGGATGGGAGGAGGGGTAATCTCTTCGAGGCATCCAGTACAGACCTCTCGTTCTATACACTTGTACTGGGCGATCGCAGTACAGTGAGCCCATATACATGTAAGACTGAGATACAGTATCATTTTTATGGCTTTGGGTCTGGATCCTGGTACACTGAAAAGCCATTGAGTAATTTGTCACAGATGCTTGACTAACTCATGACGGGGTTATGTTTGGACTTTCGGAATCATTTAATGCACATGTCAGTGTTTGTGATGGTTATTGTGTTACGTAAAAGCAACAGATGCAGAAGCCTTGCAAAGCTTTCCCTCCTATGAAGGATAAAAACCTCTCTTTTTCCAGACCTTTCCATACATGTACATGTTGAACAGGCTCACATGGAAGCTCCTTGTACTCTTACATGTACTTGCTTGAAATTAAAAAAAATCAATCAGATCCCCATGCCCATTGATTAAACCGCCCTTTACCCCCAACAAGAACTTCCAAATCCCCCAAATATCCTTGTTTCAACCCCAAACATTCCTTCACATTTCCAAATTCCCTTTTAAACCCTGTCCCTTTTTTCACCCTGTCCCTGCACAAAAGGCTCTCAGCCTGTTAAGCATTAGCTGTATTTATTTCCTGGCCGTTGTCATTGTGTTTGACCACAAGGTTTTCAGTTCAGGGATAATAGGATGGTTTAGAGTGATATTTTGTCTTGGCAGCAACCGTTGGGACCTTTTGTTTGGCCCAAGCAGCTTTCTGTCTGTGGGGTGAATAATCCGGCTTCGACCCAGGCACGGCGGTACCAGTTTTTGTTGTGTCAATATTTTACAAATGAAAGGAACTTCAGAGGGGATTGGACATTGCTGTTGGCAGACAACCTTGGTCAGTTTCTGAAATACTTGGACACTAATAGGGTTAAGTCTGGCTGGTGAACTACATGTACTAAAATACCAGTAGGGTAAATATCTACATTTAAATTATTTGTTGGTTTTGAAAAGACACACTGGATCTAAGATTTGAAAAAAATTCTTTGAAAAAAAGAGATATAAAAGTCAAAGAACCTTTTGAACTTCGAAAATTTTCTTTGCATGTGTATATTAAATAGTGGCAGTCCTATTATCCTGGAAGACACAATACTGAAAGTGAAAGAATTCCAATTTTTTGGTTTTACCATCCATACTGTAAGGTACATGTACTTATGCCCTTGCATACACTTGTACTGTGCATACTTAACCAGTGCTCCACCTTTCAAATTCATTCCTTTTCATTCCTTTTTCTGTTGTGATGTCATCAAAGCATTTTCAACCCAGCTAGTTGTGTGTTATATAGAAAAGGAATTTGTACACCGTACTGGTACTTCCGTGCCAGTCGGCACCGACCTACAAAAATCAACTTTTATGAGAATTGTAACCATAATGACAGATGAACCAATGGAGAAGTGCACGCTCACAATATTCCCCTCCCATTGCTTTTCAAGTC